AGGGCGGCGGCGGTTGGGCCGGCTTCGGCTGGGGCCGCGGCTGACTACTCGATGGCCGGTGTGTGCCCCCGGCCCCTCCCCCCCTTTTGACACCCCCCCCCCCCCCCCTACACCCCACCAGAGCCCCCAGCTTTGCGAGACGTGAGGCGGGTGGGGCGCCTGGGGGGCCCACAAACCACACCGTCAAGGGGGTGGGGTGAGATCTGGCGGGCTGTGATGTGGCTTGCTCCCCCCGCACCACGGCCGCTGAAGCGAGCCGGGGTACCATGGGGGGGGGCCGCGCCCACCCGGCTCAGCCGGCAGATGGGCGCAGGGCTCATGGGAAGGGCTCCAGACTTGGGGCTCTCCCCATGCGCCTCTAGCCCGCGCATGCCCCTCTCCCCACGCAGTCCCCGATTCTCCCTGATGCCAGGATGACCTAGAGCTGCGCGACACCGGTGTCGCGCTGGCGACACCCGGCACCACCTCAGAGGGACTCACTGGGGGAGGTGAAAGTGCGCGCGGAGTCGGCCGACAGGCAGCGGAAGTCCTGACCTCGGTAGGTGTGTCGTCCTCCTGCGCTGCGCCCTGACGTGGGTCCCACCAGATGGGCGTCCCCTGCGACCTGCACGTCGCCGTCGCACCGGCATCGTGCGGGCTTGAGGCAACAGGATGACGTTCAACGGCCGCATGGGAGGGGGTCGCCACGTGCGGAGCTGCGGCTCAACGGCGGCCTAAGGTACGGCCTCTCCCCCTCGACACGAGAGAGGACTTCCACCTGACCGCGCCAGCGGGTGAAGTGGGGTGCGTCGCTGCCACAGCGACGTGGGCGTTGCTCTCGGGGAAGATGGGCTTCGGGCCTGAGTGTGTGGTGCTAGTGTGGGAGGCTGGGGCAGGGACTCGATGGGCCACTTCCTCTCCTCTTGGCTAGTGGCGCTCCTCTGCGTGGCGGGGGCAGAGGCCCTTGGGCTCTGTCTCCGGCCTGTTCCCTGTCTCCTCCTGTGGTGTCGTCGGGTGTTTTGTTTCTTTTTGTGAGCTAGCGGTAGGCTATATACAAGGTGGTTGACGCGGCGATAGCACGGAGGCTCGAGGAGGCTGCGCGCAGGCACGGGCTGATCTCGGCGAACGTGTTGCTTCGGCTTTGTCAAGGGCGGGTCGACTGAATGGCCGATCAGCCTGGTAGCTGCTGCGCAGTGGCACGCGAGAGAGACGGGGGCGGTGCTACTACAGCTGTACATGGACGCCACCTCCGCTTACGACACCATCAGCCACCGGGGGACGGGCGTGGCGTGCGAGGCGCTGGCGATGTCCGACGATGTGGTGGATGGAGTCTTAGTGCACTTGGGCGGACACAGCCGAGTCGTCAACACAGCCTACGGCCTCGGAGACGAGTCGGGGGCCGTGGAGTTGGAGGGGGGGTGTGCTCAGGGAGCCCCAGGAAGCCCGAGCGTGTACAACTGGACGGGGTGGCTCCGGCACGAGCCTACGCCGAAGCAGGCCTGTCCGGGTACGAACTGCTCTCGCTCCGCCCCGAATGGGGAGACGCGGGAGGGGAGGCAGGAACGAGCAGAGGCACTCTCCCCCAGTACGCAGACGACGACGCCCTGATGAACGGCCGCCAGGCGGGAGACAGGGAGGGCGCCGAAGCAGTGGCCGAGGAGCTCAGGGAGGCGGCTGAAAGGCTGGCGATGGGGTACGCCGTGGCGGGCGTGCGCAATCGCCACCAGAAGTGCATCCTGGACATGAGCCCAGAGGCCGAGAGACTGCTCGGAAGGGAGTTCCGGCTCCATATAGTGGCGCTGGACGAGGAAGGAAGGCTCGTGCAATGCAGCGTCACGACGGTCTCCCGCAAGGCAGCGAGCGCTGAAAAGGGGCCAGAGACGTCCAGGGGGTCAGCCCGTTACCTCGGGGCCCATCTTAGTGCTCGGGGGGGCGGTGAAGGTGGGCCAGGGCGGTTCTGGGAGGAGCAGGATGCAGTGGCGCGCAGAACAGCTATGGCATTTGACAGAAGCACGGCGTCCACCCAACCGAACTTCCCTGTGACGACGCTAGCAGCGGCGGGTGTGCTGTACCAACGAGTGAATGCTCGTGCAGGTGTGGACCCTGTCCTCCTCCCCCATCCCTCGTCTGGGTGCACTTGGAGCAGGGTTGGAGCACTTGGAGTGCAGTCATTAACCTCACATCCAGGGCCGGGGAGCTAAGAAGCGCACCCAGCGGTTTGTCTGTTTTCTTTCTCACATGACAAGCGATCCGACAACGATTGTGGGGACTACATGATCCGTACGTGAAGGGTGGAGAGAGAGATCTTTCTTGAAGGGTGGAGGGGCCCGTCCGCGGAGCTAGGGCCTAGGCGGTACGGGCGCCCTCCACTGCGGCCGAGGGTAAGAGGACGTCTGCCGCTTGCTTGTTCTTGACGTCGTTGACCCAGTTGGCACGCCAGAAAGAAAAGAAAGAAAAGAAAGAAAGAAGCGCGGAGTCCGGATTTTTTTCTTGGCTTCTTCGAGCTGCGGAACCTGCGACGAGGCGAGTGCTGCGGCCGATGACCTCGTTCGTACTGCTCGTGGCCGCACTGGCCGACGCAGGTCAGCCTCCCTCGCCGCCCAATCGGCCGTCGAACCGGCCTGTGCACCGCGGCGCCGCGGCGTTCCGGCGGCAGGTGGAGCAGCAGCACCCGGCAGTGCTGGTGGTTGGCGGGCTGGGTCTGCAGGCTGCGGTGCGTTCGGTGGCGCGCGGGCGGCCGCCGCCGCTGCGCGAGATCATCGGCCAGCGCGAGGAGGCGGCGCTCGTTTCCGAGGCGCCTCCCGGCTTTGCGAGCCTGGTCGGCCGCGCTGTCGTGCTTGCTCTGATCTTCTCTCCGCCGATGCTGCTCTCGTGGCTGGCGTGGCTGTGGCCCTTCTTCCGCAACCGCGTCTGGTACCGCATGCTCACCGCCTCGCTCGCGCGCGCCGGCACCGCCTTCATCAAATGGGGACAGTGGTCCGCGCCATTTCCGAGACACTTCCGAGACACTCCCGAGGACACACACCTCCGACTCACCACCACCCTCGTGCCGGCTCGTCGCGCCTGCTCTCTTACCCTCCGCGCCTCTCTTCTCCAGGGCGTCGTGCCGGCCGGACGTCTTTCCGACGGCCATGTGCGCCGCCCTCGCGTCGCTGCACTCGCAGGCGCCACGCCACGGCTGGAGGCACACCGAGCGGGAGGTGCGCGAGGCGCTCGGCGCACCCGTCGACCAGCTGTTCGAGGACTTTGAGCGACGGCCGATCGCCTCGGGCTCCATCGCCCAGATCCACCGCGCGGTCTGGTTGAACCAGACGGTGGCCGTCAAGGTGCGCCACCCTAACCCTAACCCTAACCCTAACCCTAACCCTGACCCTAACCCTAACCCTAACCCTAACCCTAACCCTAACCCTAGGTGCGCCACCCGGCGGTCGTGCGGCGGATCGTGACCCTAGAAGCGGAATACGTGTTCGTGTCTCCCAACCAGCGCCCGAGAGGACACGTATTCCGCCGTCTTCGGCCGTATTCCGCGGTTTCACTGTCCTCCTCTCCGTTGTCTTCACGCGGTGCTCTGAAACACACTGCACAATGCCGTACTCCCGCCCCGAGGCTGGCGTACTCAGCGCGTAGGATCGTCACCGACTTCACCCTCATGCGCGCAGCCTCGGACTTGCTTGCTCGCCTCTTTGGTGTGTCTGGTCTGAGGGCGTCCGTGACGCAGTTCTCGGGCACCATGGTCGCGCAGACACGGCGACACTATATACACATATATCCTCTAGACACGGCACGGCACCGTCTTCCTGCCCCCGAGGCTGGTGCCTTCGCCGCGTAGGCCCGCACCTCCCTTCTCTGCTACTACACCACCCAAGGAGCTGAACCCACACTGGATTCGAGACTCTGGAGGTATGGGACACGTAGGCTCGACATCGAGGCAGAGCACTTGCGCCGCTTCGGCTGGAACTTCGCCGCGTGGCGCGACGTCCGGTTCCCGCGCGTGCTCGCCGCGAGTGAGGCCGTCCTCGTCGAGTCGTACGAGGCTGGAGAGCTCGTCTCCACCTACACCACCGACCTCACCCTCGGCGTCTCCTCCGGCAGCGGCGGCGCCGACCCCCTCTCGCGGGAGGAGGTACCCGGACCCATCCCCTACCCCCACGGCACCCGAACCCAGGGTCGCCGTCCGACGGAGCCATCCCCCACCCCCACGATACCCGAACCCAGGGTCGCCGTCCGGGTGGTTCGCAGCCATCCCCCACCCCCACGGTACCCGAACCCAGGCGCACTTTGTGGTGTCGCGCGGCGAGGACCTCTACCTCAAGATGCTCCTGCTCGACAACCTGATGCACGCCGACCTGCACCCGGGCAACATCCTGCTCCGCCGGGCGCGGAGGTACGGCCGCAACTCGCTCGCGCTCCTCGACGTCGGCATGGTGGCGCGGCTCACCCGCCGCGAGGCGAGCCACGCCCCGAGCCTCGCCCCGAGCCACGCCCACACAGCATCTAGACCGCAGCACCTAGACCACACAGCATCTAGACCGCAGCATCTAGACCACAGCATCTAGACTACACAGCATCTAGACCGCAGCATCTAGACCACAGCATCTAGACCACACAGCATCTAGACCGCAGCATCTAGACCACAGCATCTAGACCACACAGCATCTAGACCGCAGCATCTAGACCGCAGCATCTAGACCACAGCATCTAGACCACACAGCATCTAGACCACAGCATCTAGACCGCAGCATCTAGACCGCAGCATAGGCGGACGCGTTCATCGGCTTCCTGAACGCGATGGGCGCGGGCGACGGCGCCGCCGCCGCCCGGTGCGTGCTCCGCTTCTCGGACTCGCAGGCTTGCACGGCGAGGGAGGAGTTCGAGGCCGACATGTCGGACTTGTTCCGCCGCACATGCCGCGGGTACGGCACCGGCATCCAGCTCGGGGACCCGAGATGCCACACACGGGCTCCTACCGGCGCTACTACTTTCTACAACACGCTCTGCTGCCGCACGCTCCGCCGCCGCCTTCTCTGCCGCAGCACGCTCCGCCGCCTCCATCGCCGCCACCTCCGCCACCGCACGTCCCGCCGCCCGCCCACCCGCCACCAGCCGGCCGGAGCGCCCTCTGGCGCCGGACTGCACCCTCACCGCCGCGGCGACAGCCGTGTAGTCGGCGGTATCGCAGCCGCATCTCACGAGATCGCGTTCCCAACCCCCCGGCTTCGCCGTACCCCCAGGTTCGGGGAGGTGCTGCGCGGCGTGCTGGCGCTCGTGCGCGACCGCGGCGTCGCGATCGACGCAAACTACATGACCCTCGTCACAAACGTCCTCTGCCTCGAGGGGATGGCGGGCACGCTCGTCCCAGAGTACAACGTGCTCGACGCCGCCCGCCCGCTGCTCGATGCCCACCGCGCGCTGCCGCGCCCCCTCTTCCGGCTGGCGATGCCGCTCGTCGCCAGCTTGAAGCGAGTCAAGGACCGCGTGTGCCGATGAGCCGCGCGCCCGTAGCGCGCCCCCGGCGCTGCGCACTAGCGCGGAATGATCTCGACTCCTCGCCTCGCGCGTGTACGGCTGTTGCGCTGGCCCGACATCCGTCGATCTGTGTCTCGCGCGCTGCGCGACGCCTCACATCCCTTTCGTCGTTTTCGGTTTGTCGTTTGTGTTTACCAGTACCTTCCACGACCGGGTGTTGGCTGTTGCTCTCAGGTGTCGTTGCTCGGAGGAGGCTGCGCTGCGCAAGCACGGGCGGGAGGGGCTTCTCTCCTGCGGAGTCGTGCGTGCGCAGGGCTCCTCTTTGCTTTCACTTCTACTCCCTACTATCATCTCGTTCTCCCGTCCTACCTTGTACCAGAGAACCAGCAGAGAACTCGGCGCGCGCGGCCGTCGTGCGTCGAGCGCGCGCGGGGCAGGACACCTGGTACGGGAAGGTACATTCGTCGTGAGCTGTCAGGAGCTCACAGGACGTTGCTCGCAATTTGCCTGGTGGCTGGTGTGCTCGACGCGTCCGCCCGACTAGCGACTTTATGGGCCGATCCGAGACTGGTACAACTGTACTTCATCACGTGATGTAGATCTAGCGTAAAGAAAGAATTTACAACAGAGCTGCCTCGCACGGACGCACTGGGCACGGGACTGGGAGAGAGACTCTCTCTCTCTCTCGGGACTGGCGCGCAGTGTCTCGCGCCTTGCGGGGGGGGAGCGGAAAGGAGGAACCTCTTCCCAAGAGCACCACTCGCGCACTGGCACTAACTAGGTACTCTACGGGAATTTTATTTACAACAAGCTCCCTCGCACGACACTGGCACGGGACTGGCGCGCACGGCACTAACACAGGTACACCACGGGAGCCGCCTAAGCGACTCCTAAACGATTGCCCTTAGGGGTACCCTCGGAGCTTGTGCCTCGCCCGACGCGTGATCGTGCAGCAGTGCCGAGCAGAGCACCAGTTACATCGGGCGGGCGCACGCACGAGGTGAATGCTGACACTCGCCCTCGCCGCTCCACCGATATCCGCCTGCGCGCGTGCGCTCCTCGACGTGGTCCGCGCTAACAACAACGCCGCCACCGCCGCTGCCTCTGCCCGCGCATTCGTCGTGGACGGAACGACGGTGGGGCGGGTCCTGCCCAAGTCTGCTGCGGCTCTCGGCCGCTACGCCATCTTTGACGTGAGCGAAGAGGCCGTCACGCTGCGCGGTGATGCTGGCGCGACGCTCGAGGAGCGGTCCAAGGCCGTGACAGAGGTTATCTGCGACCTCCGTGCCGAAGGATCTGTGCCCATGCTCGACGGCTGGCGCGATGAGGCCTTCGCCGTCCGCACCTCCTTTTTCGCCCCTCCCTCCCTTGTCGTGGAGCGCGCCGCGGCCGGCCTCTTTGGCGCTCCGGCGTACGGTGTGTTCGTGAATTGCTACACCGAAGGCGCTGACGGCAGGCCCGCCAGCATGTGGCTCGCTCGGCGGGCAAAGAGCAAACCTACCTGGCCGGGGCTGCTCGACTGCCTTGCCGCGGGCGGGATGGCGGCAGGCGAGATGCCTCTCGGCGCGATCCGCAAGGAGGCGGCCGAGGAGGCTGGCGTGCCGCCGCGGCTGGCAGGCGCGATCCAGCCGGCGGGCGGAGTTTGCTACACCGGGTTTGACGAGACGGGGTGGGCCCTCAAGCGCGATGTGCTATACACCTTCGACCTGCGCTGCGGTGACGACTTCGTGCCGCGCGCTGTCGACGGGGAGGTCGAGGAATTTTCGCTCACGCCCATGGATGAGGTGGCGCGGCTGGTCGAGCGGCAGGCGGGGGAGAGGCTGTTCAAGCCGAACGTGGCCGTCGTCATCGCTGACTTTCTGCTGCGGCGCGGCTTCGTGTCACCCGACGACGACGGCTACCTCGAGCTGCTCGCGGAGCTGCGGAACGCCGAGCTGCGGTGACACGAACACGCATGTTATGTCGCCCATCAAGCGTGACAGTGTTTGGGTACCAAACGTAACAACACTTAAAGAACATCTGAAACGCGACACGGACTGCGTTGGTGGTTGGAGGTTGGTGGCATGATCGATGATGGTGCAGTACACATCGACAGTACACACAAGTGTCAAAGACCATGCCAAATTGCACAGCCGCACGCGTCCCCGCGTGTGTCGCCATGTGTGTCGCACGCCACGCACACGGGGAACTCCATCAACCCGAACCTCACTCACGCATGCTCACACACCATGACCGCAGCGCTGTGCACATGCACATGCTATATGCTCGACACACGACTATGCGATCGCGGCGTTGTTCCGGTAGAAGCCTTTCCGCTCCTGTCTCCGGAGCGAGACTGCCCACCACGCAGCGCCGCCGAGAAGAGCAGGCAGAACGAGGGGCTGCACAAAGACAAAGGTGGCGACACCTGCTGCCGCACCGCCTAGGAACACCTGTGACGGGGGTGAAGCGACCTCTGAGTGTGGAGGGAGAGCGAGGAGAGGGGTGCTGCTTGCGGTCGCTGGGCGGGCGGGTACCGGGAGCGTCGACGGCGGCGGTCTACGAAGCGACTTTGGCCACAGCGACATCGCTTGGGGGCGGCTGTCGACCTCCTTGTCCGAAACAACCCGAAATGAATGTTTCTTTTGTTTAGTAAGGTGAAGAACAGCCAGGCTCGGACTGGACACCAACGCGGTATGGGTGGACGCCGGACAGATGATGACGGCACGCACGAGCGACACACAGACACAAACAGGCTCACAAGACACACAGCCAGCGGGCTGCCACACACCCTGAGTTGGCGTACACATAACTCAGGGCCACATTCTTCCTGTCGCCCCCCCCAGCACTCGTGCAAGAGAAACAAACAAGGGCAACATCACAACAGACGACAGGAGTAACATGCGAGGCTAGAGCAGCTTGCTCCACCTCTAGCAATCTCGCCGGCCGGCGAGGCACGGACGAGACCGTGTGTGGGGTCTAGTGAGGTGTCTATGGACGCCCTCCTCAGAGGCTAGCTGCCTACTGCTAACCCTATCTCGCACTCACGGGCAGTGACAATTCAATGGGTGAGTGTATGCGAGCAGAGGCGCGTGGGCTAAATCTAGGCCGCACGTCGTGGCACTATGACGAAGTAAGACGTGCGGCCGCAGCGCGCCCGCCCCAGGCTCGGCGGTGCGCGCGTGTTAGCGAGAAAGTTGCGGGGAGAGCCATGCCCGACTTTTCGAAGGTGAGGCCTCTGCGACGAGTGCCAGCCGCGCTGCGGAGCCACACCCTTCGAGCCGCGTCCCGTCGGCACTGCCCCTGAGTGTGTCCCGCCTTGGCGGCACACACTCTCGACGAGGACAGTCCGGCCTACGGGAACGTGTCGCGCGCCGGCGACGGTTGCGGCGTGGTGATTTCGAGTACGACGCGAACGGCGTGCCTGAACGACGCGATGAGCGAGGTCTTGACATTTTTAGCGAGGCTGGTATCGTGCGGCCCGCTGCCCTCCTTCCTGACTGGCGCCGAAGAAGAGCAGAAGGGAACCGACAAGTCGGCTCAGGCCATCTTGAAAGACGAGACGGCGGCAGAAGCCTTCGATGTTATGAAACAAACGCAAGGCGGACATGGCATATCGCTCTCGGGCCCACAGACATCCCGCACACCCGCCGCCCCCGCGCGCGCCCCACCCCGGCCGGGAGAAAGGGGAGTGACAGTTTGGGACGGCGACAGCCCGAGTATGTTGAGTCCTGGCTCAACAACGCAGGTTTCAAGAGGGGGTGGTCCGGCTCACAAGTCCGGCTCACGCGCCTCGAGCTGACCGATCTACCGCACTGACCACTTTCGCCCCCTCGCTCCCAACCCACCCACCTCGCCTCGGGCCGCGCCGCGCAATCTCGGGCGATCTCGCGCTATCTCGGGCGATCTCGGGGCCGCGCCGCGCTATCTCGGGCGATCTCGGAGCGTCGCTCGCGCGGCGTCACACCTGCTCAAAAAGGAAGGAGGTTGGAGGCAGGAGGTCACGCCCCATCCAGAGCGCCGTCGTCGCCGGGTTTTTGGCCCCCGGGTCGTCGCCCGACGGTTGCTGCGCGGGGCAGCAGACCATCGGACGGCGCGACGACGCCCCGTCCGGCACGCTCCCCCCTCCACTCGGCTATTGCCGCACGAGCGCCCTCAGCGGCGGAATTTTTCCCTCGCGCTTCCTTGAGCCCCCGGCAACGCCGACGGACTTCCCGTCCCCCCACCTGCGCCGCAATCACCGCCGTGATTGTCGGCGCTGCGCCCCTTGGCGCCTGTGCATGTCCCGCGTGCCCGCCCGCCAAGGCTGGTGCCAAGGCCAACTCAACTGCCAAGGCTGGTGCCAGGGCCAAATCAACTGCCTGGCTGGTGCCAAGGCTCAAAGGCTCTCCTCTCTCTCTCTCCTCCCTCTCTCCCTCCCTCCCTCCCTCCCTCTCACCCCCCCCCCCCCTCTTCTCTCCTCTCCCCCTCCTCCTCTCTCCTCTCTCCTCCTCTCTCCTCTCCTCTCCTCTCCTCTTCTCATCCTCTCCCCTCTCCTCCTCTCCTCTCTCCCCCCCTCTCCCCCAGCAGCGTCCTCGAGGCCGAACAGGTAGATCCTCCCTGATCGCTAAGCTACCACAGGGGAAGTAGACGTCGTCCGCCGCCGCCTCCGCCGCCCGCGTGCCTCCGCCCCGCTCAGCAAAAAATCAGCATTATATCAGGAGGTGCCAAAGCCGCAGCATCTCCATGAGGTGAGCGTCGTGCGTTTTGCCGCGGCGCGCCGCCGCTGCGCCGACTGGCTCCCGGTTCGAATCGTCCTTCGCGGAGCGAACGCGGCGACACGTGCGCACGTCGCGCGCGTGTGCGCCTGCGACAAGACGAGACGAGACGAGAAGGAGAAGTAGACGGTTGATGCTTTTGCTGCCGCGGCCGCGGCGCGAGCTCGCGTCTGTTTTGGCGCCGACGACGCGACGCGCCCCGCTGCGTGAGATGGCGCCGCCGCGGAGTCGGCGCCGCGATCAACCGCGCGCCAGCGGCGAGCGGCGCAGCGCGGCCACCATGCGGCGCGACGTGCCCGCCGAGAGTTTTTTTTTATTCTTTTGAGCTACAGTGGGTTGCGGGCATTAAGAAAACAGGATTATGCGGCACGCCGCCGTTTCTAAGCCTTTCCACAGCCCTCATCCACCCCACGCCGTGGTTTCTTAGCTCCGGCCGGCACTCAGGCCAGAGCCGGCCCCCTAAGGATTTTAGGTAAGAGGTAAGCTGCGGTCCGCGAGCGAGGGCGATGCCAGAGTCTGCCGCCGAGTCTCTGGATGACGGGAAGACGCACACACGCCTCCATCTCCACTCCACTCAGAACACCGTAGACTTGGAAAGTGACAAGTGCGCGCGCCGCAGGCGAAGAGAAATTTTGAGCTGGGGCTCCCGTTCACACTCGAGACTCGTGTCTGGCCTTTTCTCGGGGCCGCGCCTGCGGCGCGCCGTGGTTTCTTAGATTTTTGCGGAAATCTCTTGGTAGGGTTTCTTAATGGTACGTTTTCTTAATGCCCGCAACCCACTGTAGCCTTCGATGAAACAACGCAAGGCGGACACAAGCACATCGCTCTCTAATCCCACAGACATCCCGCACACCCGCCGCACACCCGCCGCCCCCGCGCTCGCCCCACCCCGGCCGGGAGAGAGGGGAGTGACAGACAGTTTGGGATGGCAACAGTCGAGATACCTCGCACTCCATGTGCGAGAACGCAGAGAGAAAATGAAAGACGTCCGGCTCACAAGTCCGGCTCACGCGCCCCGAGCTGACCCTCTACCGCACTGGTCACTTCCGCCCCCTCGCTCCCAACCCATCCACCTCGCCTCGGGCCGCGCCGAGCGATCTCGGGCGATCTCGGGCCATCTCGGAGCTCCATTATTCTTTTAAAAGAAAAGAATTGAAATAAAAGATTTGCCAGCTTCAAACCGATAACAAGCAAAAGAAAGCAACGCCTCCCGCAGCCTCTAACTATTCGAACTTGGCACAATCCTGCACAGGTGGGGACGTGGATCGGAGAGAGATTGCGAAGAGAGATAGGAAGAGGCGGACGCCCAAGGGTGGGCGACGGCTAGCGCACCACACTCCTCTCCTTAAAATCCCTGTGTGGTGGCGGCGTGCCGTCCTCCCATCCCTCCCTTGGGTTGTCCGTTTTCTTTTTTGGGGGGGGACGTGCCTGTCCTCGACCCAGCCCTAGCTTGGGACGCGCGAAATTCTGAAGTCTGTCGCACAAAACTGGGCACTAACAAAAAATTATTATGCACATGCAGTCCCGGGGACTCCCCTCTCGAGTCCTCCTCGAGGAGTTCTCACGCAGAATGGACAAAGCTCGACAGACGGTGACGGTGGTGGTGGTGGTGGTTGGTATTAGGATGATATACTACAGTCAGGCAGTCAGCAGTCCGCTCAACAGGAACCTCAACGACAACGAGCCGGGTGGCAGATAAGGAACAGGACATCGCTGACCGGCGCGAAAGACCTATGCCTTGTCCCATGGCAGCGACGGCCGCCCGCCGCGCACAAATTTTCGCATCGGCTCGAGGAGTTCCGGGTACTGTTGTAAAGATGCGTTGCACCGAAGACGCAGGTCGAGGCGAGTTTCATCCAACTTGCCGCGGGCACCAAGCTGTCGACTGTCGAAGACTTCAAGCGCCTTGGGTTTGCCAAAGAGCTCGCATGCTTCCGCCCACGTCAGTGCTGTGAATAGTTGGCGCACGTCTCTGTCAATTTCGCGCCAGCACCCGTCTACGACGCTTTTGGCGAGCGCTGTCGCAATGTCTGCGAGCCCGTCCCCCGGACGGCTGAGGTAAACGAGTCTGTCGATCAACAAACCCCACGCACCACAGCTCATCAGCGGACTCTGCTGAGTGAGTAGTTTTGCCATGTAGGGCGCGTGCTCCGCTCGTCCGTCCACGGTCATCGCCGCGACCAGCGTGCAATATTTATCCACGGTCGTCGAGCAGATGCACGTGATAGCCAGATCCGCAGGGTACGAGTTAGGGACGACCGCAGGTCCCCCATTCATGCAATCTTTCTCTTTCTGGTTGGCCGCGTCAGGATGCACACGCAACAGCTCCTCCGCGATCTCGAGACTCACAAACGAGTTTCTCGCCGCATAGTGAAGAGGCAGGCGACCTCGGCCATCCGTCTCTGAAACCATGGTCGGGGCGGCGCAGATCAGTGCGCGAATCACATCTTCTGACTGGGGCCGACATGACAAGGCGCACAAGGCGTAGTGAATCGGGGGCATTTCATACTCCTCGCTGAGCCACGACCAGCTGCTCGCTCGGGCTGGGCTTCCCTCAGCTGTGGCCCCAACGTCCAATGCAACCTCGGCTGGGTGCGTGGCGATGCGAGAGAGCAGTGCGGCGTCGCACGGCCAGTGTCGATGTGGTCGCCAGTTCCTGAGTAGCGTGCCAAGAGGCTGTCGACCCAGGTACATGACGCTCACGAGCAGCCGCCGAGCGGCACGCGCCCAGTCAGAGTGCACGGCCTTGAGCCGCGAGACCTCGTCCATGTTGAGCCAGCCCAGGATCTCAGCGACGGTGTCGATACAGCCGAGGGCCTCAGTAGCGGCAGGCACCACGAGGGCGCGTGCACGGCGAGACTGACCGCGGGTGGTGGGCATGGCTGGTCGACGACAGGCGACGCCAGAGCGTCGTGTCGGCCAGCACGGCGCCTTTGCTTCAGATTTTCTTTCATTATTTTATCGATCCAAATTACGTGAGAGTGTTAGATTTGTTTGGATGTGTGGCAGCCCGCTGGCTGTGTATCTTGTGAGCTTGTTTGTGTCTGTGTGTCGCTCGTGCGTGTCGTCATCATCTGTCTAGCGTCCACCCATACCGCGTCGGTGTCCAGTCCGAGCCTGACTGTTCTTCACCTTCCTACATACATACATATTATGTGTTGCCCGAGTTGTCTTTTTGGCCTCACCATGGCTCGCGCGGCAAAACGGATGCAACTGTGCGCGCGCAGAGGGTGGTCAGGAGGATGGCGCGAGCGGCGTGCGCGCGGGCGTGGCCAGCAGGGTGGCGGCGGCGCTGGCGGCTGCTGGCCCGGCGGGCGGGCTTCCAAGGCCGGTGCACCTTGCGGGCACCGGTGGGCACCGCGGCGGCACCTCTCCGCCACACCTTTGTGGCACCCCCCCTGTCATCGCGCTTTTTTAAGCGCCTGAGCTCCTCCCAAGGCTGATGAGCTCCTCCCTGCATCTCGCAGAATGTCCCTGGAACACTCTAGAACTTCAGTTTGCCCGTGTTTTGTTTGAAGGAGGGGCGACGCACGAACGCACAGCGCGCCGCCCGCTACGGCAGGCGCAGCACAGGCCGCTGCTGTGTCCCGCCGAGTGTCGGTATGCTTAACGCCGTGCAGTCCATGTTAACGGGCGAGAAGCCCTCGCGCGACGGCTACTCTGACGTTCAACTTGCCAGCGTCAACCACGCCCACGCGTCGCTGTTATTTGGCGGCACAATTGCCTTCGCCGAGGTGCTCACGCAGCACAGTAAAGCGAGTGGCTCGTTCGGGTGGGATGGTAAGGAGCTGTGGGTGGCAGGCGGACTGCGGGCCACCTTTCGCTTTTGCCAGGCGCCACACTCCTGCCAGCTTCACGTTCCCACCGTACAGGTCCGTGCTTTGGTTTCACAACACGTTTGGTCCTCGCTATGGTACGGCTCACCAGATCTCCCAGATGCGACAGGAGGGCTAAAATCCGGAATATAGACTGCCAAGAGGGTGCTCTAGGCCGCGAAGACACCACACACGGTCTCCCTACTCATGCGCGGCTAGCAGGAGGGTGCCAAAAATGAGGCGAGTTGTGATTCCGCAGCTGGCCCCGCCGACGGGTACGAGCACAGGTCATGAGTGAGGCCACGCCAGCTGCCTCGGGTGCTCTGTGTGGTCGGCCTGGACCGTGCCGCAAGCCTCATGAGGGGCGAGCCGCCCCCCCGAGTCATCCGAGCGGGCAACGCCAACATGAGGGGCGATCTCGTCCCTGCGTCCAGGCTCCCATCGACCACCGTCGTCGAGCTCGTGCAGCGCCGGTGCGAAGCCCGAGCCTCGCGCAACTACGCCGCCGCCGACGCGCTGAAGGAGCGGCTGGAGGCAGGCGGCGTTAAGCTTCAGGACTGCCTCGGAGGTGGGACGACATGGGAGTACTCTGTCAGCCGGCGAGACGGCGGCGGCGCCTCTCCCATGACGGCGCTCGCGCGGACCGCTCTCGAGAGCCACACCGACCGGGCGGCCGTCTCGCGGCTCAGCGACGAGGCGCTGGCGCTGTGCGCTGCGGGTGAGCCGCTGCTCGGCCGGGTGGCTGCCGACGCGGCCTTCGACTTTGCGCTCGCAGGGTGCGAGAGCGCGCCGCTGCTGGAGTCGCTGGCCGCAGCGCAGGCGGCCGAGTTTGACCGCTGGCGCAGGCCGCAGCCGCTAGTCAGCCTGCAAGTGTGCGAGCGCCTGGCCGCCGCCGGCCTCGGAGGCGCAGCCTTTGCACGCGCGGCGGCGGCGCTCGAGCGCGGCGGCGCGGCGCACGCAGCGGCAGCAGCCTCCCTCCGTGGCCTGTCGTTCGGTTCGCCGCGGCCGCTGCGCTGGCTCTGGAGGCGGGCGGCGGCACTGCCAAAGGAGGCGCCGCCGCGAGACGCGGACGCGGACGCGGCACTCGCGCTCGCCCTGGGAGGGTTCGACGACCCGCGGCTCCCTCTAGTTCTCGACCTCGGGTGCGGTTTCGGAACCTCGCTACTCTCCCTCTCGCGGCCCGCCGGGCCGGTCGGCGCAGGCTTGGTGCCACCGCGGTGCAACCTTCTGGGCGAGCGACACGCCTCCCCTCTTTTCTCCATCCCTTCAAAAGTAGATCCTGTAATCACGGGTCACGGATGGTTCGCACGCTCGCGCCAATTCTATGTGCTCACTGCCCTCTGGCTTTTTTCCTCTGTGCCGCCTTTCTTCCTTATCTCTTGGCT